CATAGTTCTTCCAGATAACTCTCTTTCAAATATAATTTTCTCAAATAATTATTTTTCAAATATAATTCTTTCAATAAATCTTTTCAAATACAATTTTCTCAAATAAATATCTTTCAAAATATAATTATTTTATATAATACTTTCTAAATAAAAATCCTTCCAAATAAATATTTTAAATATAATTCTTTCAATTAAAAAGTCACCATGTGACACCTCATTTCAAAATCATCAAAATACGGGTCTCAGCCCATTTTCATATTTTCACGGCACCTCGTGCCCTCATTTCATATCACAACTGCACGGACAATTCACATGCCAAATATCATTATCATTTCATCACAACACCTCGTGCCCACATTTTATATCACAACTACACAGACAATTCACGTGTCAATATTCCAATTTCATATCATAATTCACGGCACCAAGTGCCCACATTTCATTTTATAAACTGCCTGGCAATAGCCACAGGCTCCCAATTTTAACATAAATCAGATTATTATCAATTTACTAACAACAAAACAAGTTGCACAAGATATAAAAATAAACACAAGAAAATCATAACATCACATGAAAATTGTCAACACCACAACCCCACATCATAACATATTGTCCGTGACAATAGCCACCCTTATCGCTCCTATTGCCACCCTTATCGCACCTATAGCCACCTTTATCGCTCCGCCCAAACAATATCAATAGCCACATTTATCGCTCCTATTGCCACCCTTATCGCTCCTATAGCCACCCTTATCGCTTCGCCCAGACAATATCAATAGCCAACAAACACAACAATGAAATGACACCCTTATAACCACATAATATAAACGGTGAAATGTCACCCTTATCTCACCAAAATAACAACTCTCACAACACAACAATTTATACGGGAAATTATCACAACAACATAACAAAAATTAATTGATATCACAATTTGCCCAATGGCCACAACCAAATTTCAAAGCTACAACCAAGTCAATTAATTTCACAGCACATAGCCAAATGATCCACACAATGTGTACAACACCCAAAAATAATCAATAGAGATAGAAATTACTCAATATAAAGCAAAGTCTTCATAAAAGATCAAATTTTCAATAATTATATAAATACCTCTTCTTAAGCTCATTTAATTAATTATTTACAGAGGGAAAAATCCAAAATAAAATTAAATTTCAATAATTATTAAACCAGCAAATTCACGAAATTTCATAAATAATCAAATAACAATCACATCACATTGTCATAAAATAACAGAGTCAACAACAAGGGTTTAGGCACGACAAGTAGATGATTAAATATATGCCAATAATTATCTAATTTACTACACAATATGCTCAAGACTTTAACTCAATAAAATTTGCCATATAAACCAAGTACGTACTCGTCACCTCGCGTACATAGTTTTCAATTACCCAAGTTGCACATAAGACTCAATGCCTAAGAAAAATTTCCCCAACTCGAGGTTAAGCAAGACACTTACCTCTTTGAAGTTATGTCGATATTCCAAAATCGCCTTCTTGCTTAAATTAACCTCCGGACCGTTCAAATCTATCCAAATTAATTGTATAACTTTATTAAAATTCATCGAAAATAATTTCGGATAATAATACGTCGACTTAAAAATTTATTCCAAAAAGTTAACAAAAGTCAACGCGGGACCCGCCTCTCGGAACCCGATATAATTTTCATGAAATCCGAACACCCATTCCGATACGAGTTCAACCATACCAATTTTATCGAATTCCAATAACAACTCGACTTCCAAATCTTAAATTTTTATTTTTGGAAGATTTTACAAAAATCTTGATTTTTCCTCCATTAAATCCCAATTAAATGATGGATTCAAAGACATAATTATAAAAATTAATCAAAACTGGATAAGAATCACTTACCCCAAACACCCACGCAAGAATCTCTCCTAAAATTGCCTTCTACCGAGCTCCAAATTAGATTTTGAGTTATGAACTCAAACCCCCGTTTTTGGAACTTTTAATTCTGCCCAGATAGGCCTTCTTCGCGTTCGCGAAGGCCAAAAACTCGCTGCCTCAATTTTTTTTCGCGTTCGCATTACCAACTTCGCGTTCGTGAAGGCCTGCCATGCATATCATCGCGTTAGCGTTCAAGCTCGCGCGTTCGCGATGCACTCAAGTCCTACTGCTTCGCGTTCACGATTGAAGATTTGCGTTCGCAAAGGCTGATGACTAAGGGCCCAGTCCCCTCCTTCCTTCTATGCGTTCGCGACTGGACCCTCGCGTTCACATAGGTTCTTCAGGCATACCTTCGCGTTTGCGAAGGCTAAATTCCAGCAGACTCAAAACTCTTCTTCGCGTTCGCGTGACTCTCTTCGCGTTCGCGAAGAAGGAAGTCAGATACTAGATACAACAGTTCCAAAACAGTCCGAAATGATCCGAAACCACCCCGAAACACACCCGAGGCCCCCGGGACTTAACCAAATATACCAACAAGTCCTAAAACATCATACGAACTTAGTTGAATTCTCAAATCACCTCAAACAACATCAAAATGATGAATCACACCCCAAATCAAAATCTATGAACTTTGAACTTTCAAATTCTATAACTTGTGCCGAAACACATCAAATCAATCCGGAATGATTTTAAATATTGCAGGCAAGTCCCAGATTACATAACGAAGCTGTTCCAACTCTCGAAATCGCATTCCGACCCTGATATCAAAAAGTCAACCCCCGGGTCAAATTTTCCAAAAATTCGACTTTCGCCATTTCAAGCCTAAATTGACTACAGACCTCATATTCACAGTTCGGACACGCTCCTAAGTCCAAAATCACCCAACGGAGCTAACGGAACTAACCAAACTCTATTCCGGAGTCATCTTCATACAGTTCTAACTACGGTAAAAATTCTAAGACTTAGGCTTCCATCTCAGGGACTAAGTATCTAAAATCTCTCCCAATCATCCGTAAATCAAACTCGACCACACACGTGGGTCATAATATATATTGCGAGGCTGCTCGAGACCTTAAGTCACTGAATGGAGCGTAAATTCTTAAAACGACAAGTCGGGTCGTTACAAAAAATGTCTATTTAGTGCCACGAAAACCTTAAAAGAATCAAATTCAATTACCTTTGGATGAAGCTTGGAGATCGAAGTATATCTTTTTGAGAACTCATCAGCAACAACGTTCTCATATTTAACTAGATCATAACCATTGATGAAATTTGTGTTGAGATCTCTTGTTCCTACCTATTCTTGAATATATTCATCCTTTGGGGGCAATGAAAAATCTGGAACAAAATATGAACTCAAACTCTTCATTATAGACTCCTTTTTAAGCAAGTGTTTCTCTTATGTTTGCAAAATTTTATGCACTTTTGGATTAATGCAATATGTTGCCTCGTTTAGAAGGATAGAATCAACAATTAAATTAATATTATGTTGAGCATCTCTATTATGTGAAAAGTTAAGCTCACATATGGGATGCTCCAACGGGTCATCATCAAACTTCGGAGGTAAATCCCTAATATTTTTTTACTAGCCTCTAGCTGACTTATTTCACCCACCCCTCCCCACCTTTTACCCAAACACCAAATCAAACTACTTCCCCAAAGTTTTTCTGCTAGGGTTCACTATTTCAAGCCTTCTTGAAGTCCAAATTAGATTAGGTTTCCACCATTATTTTCAGCCTACTTACTCAGTTAATCCATTGGTCCCTTGATAAGTATGTTTGATTGTTCTAGTTTATCATATGGGTCGAAGAAGAGGTGTCTTTGTGGTCTTATTTCCCACCATTTACGGCATATATTTCTGAAAATGCGAGTAGGCACTTTTTTAAGTTCCCAAAACCTGAGGTAAGTCAACTTCATTTATGGCTAATAGCGTTCTTTGAATTCTCAAAAGCCTTACTTCTAGTGTTCTTAGGATTCTCATGAAATATTTGGGTTTATTTTTATTGCGTTATTTTTACAGAATAAATCATGTGGTTATTGGGTGTGACCGGATGATGAATTACCTCCAAGAGTTGTGATTTTGATTAGTAGTCTTAAAAGAAAATTGGAAGCTGCTGAAATATAAAGAGATATTTTGAAGAAGAAGATGGCTGATTATAATATTGTTGCTGGCATTGAGGCTCAAGATATAGCAAAATTGAGCGAAAAAGTTATTGAAAGAAATATTTTGAAGAAGAAGCTTGTTGATGCTGAGTATGCTGCTGCTATTGATGCCGGAACTATTGCAAGATTAAGCAAAATCATAGCCCATCAGTGGATGTTAATTCGTGTCTTATGTGGATGCTTGGTTGGATTCGTTGCATTATGGTTGTTGTTGTGAAGTATGAATTTAGTATATAATTGTAGTTAACCTGTGTAATGTATTAATTCGTGTAGTGTATTTTGTTGAATAGTTATAAGGATTGTAATGATCTTGCTTTCCTTTTAATCTCTTAGAAAAATGCTTGTATGTTGATTTAATTTCCTTGAAGTTGCTGGAATACACAAGTATGGAAAGAATTTATTTCCAGTAGAATTCATTCACATGTTGCTAGTCTATTGAATTTGTTGGACGTAGTAGTACTGGAAAGTGATTGATTATTTTCAAGAAAGGTGTTGGAAATTCAACCTTTTCCGTTAATTGCTGTCTCAATAAATCCTCGATGCTCCTATGAAATTTCCATGTAAGTTAAAAGGATAAATGTTACAATTCTGTTGTTAAAAATTGAAGATCTTAATCCCATAATATCACAACATAACATGAATGACCTTTTGTTTTCTTAAATTCTGTTAAATCTAACAAGTTGGTCATGGAGATTAGTGACCAAGAAAAGGGGAAAATAAAAAATTTCAGGATAACATAAAAAATAGAAACTCCATAATCACACACAACATAAACAAGATACTAAACGGAGATTGTACATCTAGGGTGACACATTAAATTCAACCAGAATAGCTGTCATAACCATTATAATTGGTTAACCACAAATAGCAAGATTAAAGTTTCAAAGCTACCTAAAACCTAAAGGTGGTTAACCCCAAAAAAGTACAAGTTGCAGCCATATGAAATCATGAAAAACACAAGTTTTAGCTACTTGAAATCATAAGAAGCACAACTTTCAGCTATATTTCAATAACAAAAATCACAAGATCTTCCAAAACCATCCATCATGACTACATTATGCAAGTGCTCCCTACCCTTTGCTTCCCATACTTTTGATTCTTTTCTTTCGTCCTTCTCCTTGAAGCTGGCTTAATGTCATTGCCTCTTTTTCCTTCTATATGCATTTGATTGGCGAATAAGGCAGTTTAGTTGGATTTGCAGCACCAGTGTGATCTCCCTTAAACTGAATCTTCCTTGTATTAGCCTTTGCCACAGGTGCAACAGGATTTGTCTTCTTTGGTTCCAGACATGTTTGTGTCTCAAATACAACCATTGGTCGCAAGATGGGGACTTCTTCATTCTCAACTTCTGAACCATATGCAAGCGACTTTTGTATTCCAGTTTGAGTGTCAAACACAGATGCAAATGATTGTTATGTTCCAACATCCAAATGGTCTTCATAAGGAACACTTTTGTTATCATTACTAACTGAGTTTTGGCTTTGATTTTGACTGCAGCCTTTCCCTTTCCTCTGTTGTGATGTCTTTCCATTGATGTTGTTCTGTCAAATTTGAAAAAGACAAATATTAATCAAATACTTAAACACAAAGTTTATCCTAAGCTCTATATAAATGATTTACCTTGTAACATCCTCTTGCATTGTGGTTGAGTTTACCACATTGGTGCATGTGCTGGAAGACCCTTTCTAGAAGCATTCCACTCTCCCTTTCTCTTTCTTGCCTCATCTGGCTCCCTATTTCTCTTTACCTTGGGCCTTCCAACCAATTTCACAACTGCTGGTGAATCCAAATGTTGTGAAGGATCCATTTTCCAGAATTTTGCCCTCTCACATGAAGCAACTTGTGCCTATATGTCCTTAAGTAAGCTTCTCTACTGTAAAACCAATTAATTTCAGTCAGGGGTTCCACTTTCTTGTGTGCCAATGCTTCAATAGCATGAGGGCATGGAATTCCACTCAACTCCCATAGCCTATAGGTGCATCTCTTGGAATCAAGGTTGACGGTATGTGTATCTTCACCCTCAGCTATCTCATAGCCATAATCACTATTAAACACAACTACACAACCTTAAGCAATTACTCTGTAGTCATTGCATAGCCTCAAACACCGTGGACTGAAATCACTATTCCAGCTCCTCAACTTTCCTTCATTATTAGCCTACATTTCCATTACCTTGACTCTGATTTCTTCTAGAATTTTGATAATTGGTTTGTGTCTTGCCTCCAGGATCCATGAGTTAAAAGACTCGGTAAAATTGTTGTCTACCATCATATTCTTGCATTGAGTGTCAAAATATGCTCTACACTAAACTTTTGGAGGATATTTGACCAAGTCCCTTGCACTATCTTCATCAAGCTCTCCCAAGCTTACCAACTGATCCTTAAATTCCTCTTCATAGGTGCTTCAGGCACACCACCACATCAATTTTTTCATTTCATCACTTTTTCATCTTTTACACCAATTGTCTTCAATGTGCCTCACACAGAATCTTTTATTTGCCTCAGGTAGTACAACACTAACAACATCAAGCAAGCCCTACCATAAATCAGAAAAAATACAATTAGTTAATACAAAATAAATAATCAGAAAACAGAAACATAAATTCTAGAAAGGCTAACCTTTTGCATGTCTGATATGAATGTCACTGCAGCACCATTTATCAAGTCCAAAGACATTTTTAAGAGCTCCAAAAACCAGCTCCAAGTTCTACTGGTTTTCTTGTCCACTACTGCCCAAGCAAGTGGATAGAACTGGTTCATACAATCTTACCCCATGGTAACTAACAGCTGACCTTTACATTTTCCCTTAAAAAAAGTACCATCCAAGCCTATTAGTGGCCTTAAGCTATCTTTCCATCCATGCTTCATAGCTTGGAAGCATATGTACATCCTCAAAAATCTTCTCTTCCTTTCAACCAAAGCATCATTTGATATGTTAGTGACTACATCACTACCAGGATTACTATGCTTAATCTCCTGTCTAAATGCCTCAAGCTTACTGTAGTCATCAGAAAACTGCTCTCTAGCTTCTCACGAGCCAACCTTATGCCCTTTTTAGAGTGGACTTAGTGATATTCAAACTTAAATCAGTATCCAGTACTCCCCCCATATCCTTTACCTTGTACTTTGGATTGTTTTGTACCTTGTTCTTAAAATATTGAGCTAAAGTCTTTGCACTGGCTCTCCTATTTTTGAAACAAGGATCACAATTGTGGTTTGGATTCAAAGTTTTGATTTTGTACCCAACAGTCCTACCATCCTGGGATATGAGACATACAAATGGGCAACCTGTATCACACTCATATCTACTTCTTGTTGTGTCGCTTTTAACAACCCACAACCCTTTCTTGTTAGCTATAGCATAGAAATTGATAAACTGTCTAGGTTCCTTCATGTCCTAAAATGTCATCCCAACCTCCAACTCCTTTAAGTTTTCTAATCTATCAGACACTACTCTTCTCCTTTGCCTGTTAATACTTTCAAGTTCTTCATAATCACAATCATTACAATCAGATTTAGAAAAATCATAGGAACTAAGGCTATGTTCACAATCACTGGCTACTTCAACATTTACACCATAAGTTTCAGTGTGGTATGTAATGTCTTGTGCATGGACTGTAAATTCAGACTCATCAACAACAACAAAATTGATTTCCTTGAACTGCTGACAAAAGAGACATTGCAAAGTCCTAATACTATCATCATTTTCAATAAGATAATACCTACCAGAAAAATCTGCTACTAATAGCTGCTTAACTTCAGAAAATCCTAATTTTGAAGTGAACTCCTGACAGATATCTTCAAACTACGGTAATTTCCAATCAAACACAGCCCACAGGTGCACTATATTCTTGTTATAGACCAGGTCAGAAAAAATTACCTAATCACCCCCATAATAAAAAATAATATCGACTTCATCAATTATCCTTCAACAGTGGGTCATATTTAAAAAAGGAGACAAAAAAATACAGAGACCAAATCAGTCATTTGTGTATACATGCATATAAAGGGAGCGACAAAAAATGAATAAATAAATCGCATAAAGACAAGGGATAACTCGACAACAACAACAATCCCAACAAAAAAGTAAAATGACACAACTTTACACCATATAAAACTATCATTTACACTCATATCAAACAAATGAACATGGCCTTTAATTTTATACATATGTATTAAACAAACCTAAAACCCCACTGAAAAAATTAAATCAAGATAAAAAAGCAAAATACAACTTACCTTGACGTAGGGGTGGGCGTGGCTCGGTACGGTGCGATTTGCAAGAATTTCGGTTCGGTTTGTTCGGTCTTCGGTTATTGATATGGTGCACCGACAACCGAACCAATATAACTTCGATTGGTTCGGTGTTTGTAACTACGGTTCGGTTGGTTTTCGATTTTTGTTCGGTTGGTTATAAACTATCATATTTGGCTGTTTTTTTTACTGATTCTAACAATATATTTGAACATTGAACTTCAAAATATCAAGTTTCAAAACAATTATGGTAAAATCCAAGACAAAACCACAAGCAAACAATAAAAATAAGTCTGTAATCTTCCTATACATACGACCTTAAAAACTTGGCATCATTCTCTGTAGTTTCCAAAGAAAGCATGATATACAATTTCCGTGGACAACTGTAATCTATATACATCAAACTGCAGTGCACTGACGCAGACAGTAGCAATTTCGCTAACGCTACAATAGCATATGCGTGCACCTTCAGTGGAATTGCAGACAACAATAGTATGTTCCAAACTTCCAATTAAACTACCTCCTCTCAAAATTCTGTGTAAAAGATCAATAATATATTTTTCAGAAATGGCGTCTGACTACAAAGGAAGCAAAAAGCCAAAAACCAAAAATTCAAACATATAGAATAGTTCGGCCTTAAAAACCGCACCGAACACCAAAATTTAAAAATTTGTAAACCGCACGCCGACCGAATAATCGATTAAATCGAAAATCGAACAATCAAAATTTAGGTTCGGCCGGTATTCTGCCCACCCGTACCTTGATGTATTATATCACTCTTCCGATGAAACTTCAGTGGGAATTCTCCCGCGATCCACTGTAGTTCACTAGTCAAAAAATCCTAGGAGAGCCGATTGAATAAGAGAAGGAAAATGGGGGAAATAATAATGAAAGGTCTGATTTTTAGGTTAAAAGATATTAAGTGAAGGGGGTAAAAAGGGGGGAGGGGTGGGTGAAATATGTCAGGTGGGGGGTGAAAAAAATATATTAAGGGGTGGGTTGATGAAGACACGTGTCATGTCCTATTTTTTTTGACAAAAGTAAATACTTTAAGCAGTAGCTGTTAGTGGAAAACGGTAGTATTTGACCTATTCTTTAACGGCATGGTCATTAGTAAGCTCAAGTTGAAACGAGGTTATAATTGATCCATTTCGAATACCACAAAGTCATTTTTGGGACTTTTCCCAAAGGAAAATCCTTATTCTAAAAGGAATAAATAAATCCCGTTTTAAGAAGGAAAGAATCTTGGTTTCTTGAAATCAATCTTGACCTTCTTGGACTTCCAGCGCTTCTTGAAAATAAGTTTATATGTTTGGACTTGAGCTCCAAAACATGATCTTGGCTAAAATTAATAAAATTTAATATAGATTCTTCTTTTACATCAATTCATTCTTAATTAAGAATCTAGGTTCGAAACTTAGAAATGAAAAAAGAAAATTACGATAGAAATTACTTCACATTTTAACGAGTCTTACGTGGCATAAATTCGAATTAACTGAAGCCAAATACCAACATCGATGATCAGATACGAAACAAAAAAAAAAAAAATTGATAGTTAGAACTTAGAAGGAGTTAATGCGAGATGGAAACCTCGAAGGAATTGGTAAAGTATTAATTGGTTAGTAACGAGTGAACATCCTTTTCTTTGTCCCAAAAATAACATGTTGACCACCAAATTAAAAGAAGTTTATTTTAGTTGGTGTGTGGCGGGGCAAGGTTGCATTAGGAAAATACGGATGAAATTCAAAAATAGCCAGATTTACAAGTGATAATTAAAAAATAGCCATCGTTTCAAAAGTAATTGAAATTTAGTCAATTTTCATATAAAGATAAATATGAACGAAAACACTATCCAAAATACGAAAAATATTCCAGCATAATATACTGGAGTTCCAACACAATATACTGGTCCAACATAATATGCTGGAAGTTCATACATATGTGCTCCAATCTCCAGTATATTATTGTATAGGGTAAAATTTGCTATGACACGTGGCCGTCCAAAAAAGGGACACGTGGAACCCAAGACGGGAGATGGCCAAAGACCGAAGGCAAATGTTTTGTTTGTCACCGGAAAGAATAACACTCATAAAGATGTGATAAATGCTCTTCGCTCGATAGCATTTAATAGAGAATATTTCATGGCATTAAGAGCAATTACCCGTTACAGGGATTTTGGCATTTATACTCATCGTTACATCTTCATCAATGCCCCTTATAATCGACATTAAAGAAGGGCACGATCTTAGGACCTCCTTCATAGCTATAAATAGTGAGCTCAGTTGTCATTGTAAAGGATACGAATTTTCTAGCAAACTTACGCTACATTCTATACAAAGCTCAATATAATCTTATCTTCTTTCTTTTTAATTCCGTTGTTGTTATGCCCATAAATTCTGTTCCCGGAACTGTTGCTTCTGCTGTTTCGTCTATATCCTAAGGCTAAGTACTGTATAATTCTTCGTTTATTTTATTATTTTAGGATCAAATTAATTTATTTGTCTAGAAATCACGTATAAAGTCAACTGTACCATTTTACGGGTAAACAGTTTGGCGCCCACCGTGGGTCCTAGATAATCGTGTAATTAAATTGATCCTTGCCTTTTTTACTAATGTGTTTTGATTATTTTGTCTTAGAAGAAATCATAAGAAATGGCAGATAACATTGTTAACGACATGCACAACCCCGAGATTCGAGGGGATCAGCCTCATTTCGAAGACTCAATCAGTGACACCCATAATGAGGGGAATGACGCTACACCGACACAAGACATGCAATATTCTCGACATGTTCGGGAGACAACTTCCAATGATGCTGATGAGGAAGAGCAACGGGCGATCATTAGGTTATGTCGGAGTTGAAGTAGGTGTTGTTGGGAGCTTCAAATAATGCAAACAGACGAGATGTGATTCCTCCTGGGGTTCCCACGAATCAAATAACATAGAGGGTCGACAACAACACTCCCAGGGGTGAAGTTGGCTCTGATGGGGCAAGGGGGAAAGGATCCGGCCTCAACAACGAGAATGATCCTTTCAAGAATGAACTTTTATGGTTTATGAGGGAAGTGAACGCCCGCATGGACCAGATCCTGGGCACGCCACTATTGCTGAAAGGTCCAGACTCGAAAAAGTATACTCAATTGCCATACAAGCCAGCTGTGGCACCAGAGTTAATCCCGAAGCGGTTCAAAATACCTGAAGTGCCAAAGTATGACGGAACTTCAAACCCCCATGAGCATATTACCACCTACACAATGTCGGTAAAGGAAAATAATTTAGCTCCTCACGAAATTGAATCTGTGTTGCTAAAGAAATTTGGAGAAACCCTCACGAGGGAAGCCTTGACGTGATATTCGCTATTACCCGAGCATTCCTTAGACACCTTTGAAATGCTCGTGAATTCTTTCATCAAGGCTCATGCCGGGGCTAGAAAAGTACAGGCCCGAAAGGTCGACATATTAAGGATTGCACAAGGAGAGTCCGAGCTGCTATGCGAGTTTGTTACCCTATTCTAGAAGGATCGAATATGATCATGTTGGTTTTCCATCGTTGACCAAAGGACGAGAAAAGAACAGAGAAAAATCAAAGGATGATTATGACGCGGACAAACAGACTTCGAGGGGCTAGTTTTTGCCCTACGAACTGACCGAAGGCGGCAACAAAGGTTTTCGGATAGCGGACAAGTTCACCGTTGACAGGAGGAGTGATCGCGGTCGAAATAATCGATCACTGCAGGATAAAGAAATGTTAGGGTTGCGGGGTCCTTCTTACCCCCATGTTATCAAAATACAACTTCAACGTGAATATAGTGGAGTTGGTGTCGGCCATGAGAAACATCAAAGAAGTACGGTTCCCGAAACCGATGAGATCTGATCCAGCCAGAGGGATCCTAACCTGTGGTGTGAATACCGCAAGACAATTGGCCACCTGACAGGGGACTACCGACACCTCTGGGAAGAAGTGGCAACATTATTGAAGAATGGTCACCTCAGAGAATTCTTGAGTGACCGAGCTAAGAACAATTATGGTCGTAACCGGAACAACGTGGAACCCTCGAAAGCAGGAGAAGATCCCCCGCGTCAAACAATCAACATGATCTTCGGAGGGAATGAGATTAACGAGGTCACCTTTTCAGCAGCAAAGAAGATGAAAGTATCAATAGCGCATAGCAAAAGGCTTCAGGAAGACGATATCACTTTTACAGAGGAGGACGCACACGGATTGCTGCTACCACACAATGACGCACTAGTAATTTCTTTAAATGTGCTAGATTTTAAGATTAAACGTGTTCTAGTGGATCCAGGAAGTTTAGCTAATATCATACAATGGAGAGTATTGGAGCAAGCTAAACTCACCGGAAGCATTATTTCGACCACAAAGCTCCTCGCCGGATTCAACCTCGCAAGTGTGACAACTCGGGGAGAAATTTTATTACTCACGAACGTTGAAGGAGTAATGAAAACAACTCTTTTCGAAGTGGTAGATGGTGATATGGTATACAATATCATTCTGGGAAGGCCATGGTTACACGAGATGAAAGTTGTACCATCAACGTATCATTAATTGCTGAAATTTCCAACGCCCGAAGGAATTAACAGATAAGGGGTGATCAATCGGCGGCAAGGGAGATGAATGCAATTTCGGTCTCCAGTAGCCAAGGAAAGGAACACGCGCATAGAAACTATAGGGACCGACACCTACTCCCAAACTAGATAAAGTTAGCCCGAGGGCAGAGGCGTTGGGATGTTATCAGGTGCCAAGATATTTCCAAGTTCCAGAAAAGACTGATGCAACAAAGTCCACAGTGGAAGAGCTGGAGCAAGTGGCATTGTTTGAAGAATTCCTAGAAAGGAAATTCCACTTGGGGACAAGACTGCACCCAGAACTCAGGCCTGACTTATTAAATTCCTTAAATCTAACACTGATTGTTTTGCATGGTCACAAGAGAATATGACAGGCATCCCGACAGAGATAGCCGTACACAAGTTAAGCTTGGATTCCAACGTACCTTCGGTAAGACAAAAGAAACGCTCGATTACCGAAGCTAGGAATAAATTCGTCAAAGAAGAGGTAACCCGCTTACTTAATATCGGTTCGATCTGAGAGGTAAGATATCCAGACTCGCTAGCCAATGTAGTAGTAGTTCCTAAGAAGAACAATAAGTTTTGCATGTGTGTAGATTATAAAGATCTTAACAAGGCATAGCTGAAAGACTCGTTCCTACTGCCAAACACCGATCAAATGATTGATGTCACAACCGGGCACGAGTTAATGAGTTTCCTCGATGATTATTCTGGGTACAACCAAATTAAGATGAACCTGGAGGATCAGGAAAAAACTTCATTTATAATGAATTTCGGTATATATTGCTACAATATGATGCCCTTCGGGTTGAAAAATGCCGGAGCCACTTATCAACATCTCGTGAACAAGATGTTTGAAAGTCAAATAGGAAAAACTATGGAATCTATATAGACGATATGCTCGTTAAGTCTTTAAATGCAGATGATCTTCTTAAACATCTGCAAGAAACTTTCGACATCATAAGGAAGCATAATATGAAACTTAATCCCGAGAAATGCACGTTCGGAGTCAGCTCTGGTAAGTTTCTGGGATTTGTGGTATCACAAAGGGGAATTGAGGTAAACCCTGATAATATCAAGGCCATAGAAGATATCCCGGACCAACTATCAAACGTGAAGGAAGTCCGAAGGCTTACGGGAGATCTACAGCATTGAGCA